AAGAGAGAGAGAGAGAGAAAGAGAGAGAGAGAGAGAAACAAAGTCAAAGTGCAATGTAAATGTCGCGTAAACTAGGACGTTTATTTGGTTCTGTAGTTTAGTTCTGTTTTTTTTTTAACTGATCATCACTGACCTATACCTACATACATGATGATGGTGTAGGGTTACGGTCATATTTACTGGATGACATTTCATCTTGTACTATGCACTATGCAGATACTGTGCGCTTGTATACTCATCATTTACTCATTATGCAGAAGCCACTCACACATTAAATGTCATCATGTCTATCCAGAGTCCATATGCATATCGACATCGATATCATACCTACTTAGACATCACATCTTATCTAGATTATTATGTAAACGTAGAAAAATCGTAATAGAATTAACAGTTAACGTTTTGTACTCGCTACTGCATTTCTTTTGCCGCCAACGTAAAACAAATTGTGACAGCTAATGGAGACAAATCTGCCATAGTATGTTTTCTATATTAGAGAGAGAAACAAAGTCAAAGTGCAATGTAAATGTCGCGTAAACTAGGACGTTTATTTGGTTCTGTAGTTTAGTTCTGTTTTTTTTAAACTGATCATCACTGACCTATACCTACATACATGATGATGGTGTAGGGTTAAGGTCATATTTACTGGATGACATTTTATCTTGTACTATGCACTATGCAGATACTATGCGCTTGTACTCATCATTTACTCATTATGCAGAAGCCACTCACACATTAAATGTCATCATGTCTATCCAGAGTCCATATGCATATCGACATCGATATCATACCTATTTAGACATCACATCTTATCTAGATTATTATGTAAACATGGAAAAATCGTAATAGAATTAACAGTTAACGTTTTGTACTCGCTACTGCATTTCTTTTGCCGCCAACGTAAAACAAATTGTGACAGCTAATGGAGACAAATCTGCCATAGTATGTTTTCTATATTTACCATATGTATACAATTTACTGTCACTTTCATCTTAGTTATACACCCTACTACCACTTCCTAACGCGTTTGCATAACATTTTCTTCGGCAGTAGTAACATTTACTGACACACAATCACAAGGAATCGCGACGGTTTCTTTACAGCAATACTTTCACGACTGTCTTCATTCCTTGCATGAATAGTTTTTGTGATGATGGGTCGGCGGTGTGCATCAAAGAGAAGGTAAGGAACTGCACAGAGAACATGG